ATGTTGTAAATACTTGAAGATGATGAGGTTGAGAGAGTAAAAATGCCATTTTCGAAAAAAAATTCAAAAAACATATAAATGGCATTTTCGTAAATAAAATGAAGATGTGGGGTGAATAGGACAAAAACAAGATGAGTCAAAAGAAGAGGTTAGTTTTGTGTTTGACTTGGAGTTTTGAGTCAAATTTGCAAAAAGCCCACCGTAGATAGTTAGTTATTGTTATATAATTATATTTATATTTAAAATAAAAATCTGCAAAAAAGTTATTAGACACAACATTTATCAATAGGTCATGTTGCTGTTTTAATAATATAGACTAGATTTTGACCCGCGCTTAAAAGCGCGGAAATTCTTTATGATTAAAAATTTATATAATTGTGTTTTGTCTTAATTTAAAGAATATTTTGATATAAAATCAGTTCACCAAAATTTGTGGTGATGATTGTTTTTCATTAGTTTTTAGTTTCAGTTTTATTTTTAGATTTTGGTTTTTGGTTTTTAGCAACAAACAAATCTCAAATAATCGAACATCTAATTTAAAACTGAAAAGATGATAACAATTTAAAAAAAAAAAATTAAAATAGTTTATTTTGTAAATAAACAAAGCAAAAAAAATATAACATGTGTTTTCAGCTTTTGCTTTTGGATTTTAGTTTTTAGATTTGGTTTTTGGTTTTGCTTTGCATTTTTTTAATCAGTAAATTATTTAAGAAAAATAAAACAATAAATTATTTAAAAGTTACCATTTAAATTTATTAAAACAAAGTGATTGTTATTTAAAATAAAAAATATATTAACATGTTTTAAAGTACATGATTTAAATAAATGATTAATTATAGATAATTTTGTTTTGTTAAAAGTATTAAATAACTTTTGAGTCTGAAAATAATAATTGATTTTTTGATCTTTCAAGGTGAAAAGTTTATTCAATGTTTTTGGAGTTTTTTTTTTAATACTAAGCCCCAAAACCAAACTATATAATTTGTTCAGAAAATAAAAGTAAGCCCAAGACTATATTACATAGATAACCACTGGTTTAATTTAAGTATAATTAGTAGATTTCCATATTTTGATGATATATATTCTTCTAGAACATTCCATATTTGTAGGAGAAAATATGTGTTTTCGGTATACACATAGATACCTGCCGTATTTTGAAGGTAATTTACATTAAGGTCGTATCTTTACATTATTTGTGTTGGTTTAATTTAATTAATACAGTTCAATCAATTATATGATTTATATTATTTGTAACATTCTAGAAATAGTCCAAATTTAAATGACAACTTGTATAAGTAGATAAAAAAAATGACTCTATTTTAATAGAGTAGATGGTACAACAAACAAAGTGATAAACTGGGTTTAAGATAAGAAAGTCAGAACTCGGAGCTAGGGTTTTTACAAAAGAAAAAACTTCTATCATAGATTCTGTAAAACTGTACTTTGTTATCTATTTATAGGGGCCGTGTGTGATTACTGAGACATTGAAGTCTAGGGCCCATTAAACACATTGAGATATGATGAGTTCTCTATTCGAAAACGCGGCCATGGAACCCAATTAAGCAGCGCCATAACGTTAGATGGAACTACAGTGGCGCGATTTCACCACATTCGGTCATAAAATCGGATTTGTAAATAAATATTTTTTTTTCTTAAGTATGGAAGGTTTTAAATCGAAGAATAAAGCACAATTCTATGTATTTGATGTATAAACAACTAGAAAAGCTTATATATTTCGTGGATTTGGTTAATCCATGGTTGACGCCCGCAAAAAAAAAATATTGCAGAGAAAACGTAATATATCGGGAGGAAGAAATAATGTAACTACACTAATGCCACTGATTAAAAAAATTATATAAAAAAAAGACAAAGCCATGTCGTAAAGTACTCCAATTCGATTTGCAAGGCTTAAATTCACATGCAACTGCCACTAGAACATTGTGATTTCTTTGCCAGTGTTTACGTAAACTAATAAATATAGATACATATATCCCAAACATAGAAAACTCGTAAAAATTAATCTTCAATTGATCCCCAACTAACTCCCGATTTTTTGCTATTTCGCTTGATCCACGCCAACCATCCGACTAGCACCTAACGTCTTTCTTAACATGGGATGAGTTTTATTCCCCATCTTGTGGTTTAAAGTGATTTAGTTTGCTGATTATTTGTTTATGAATTATGCATTAAAATATTTTGGTAAATATCATTCCTACCATAAAGGACCGTGACGTGCGAATTAAAGAAAAAGAAATACATTTTTTATATGAAACGAACAAAGGGTAAACGTATACATACGTAGGCTTTTATTAGAACGAAAACATCAAAAACACGTACCTTCAATAATAGCATTGAAGTCCTACGTTTAGCAAACAGAAACACACATATATATATCACACGAAAAGATGTTTCTCAAGACGTGGACTGATCAGAACCTCAAGAGGCGTTGCTTTAGGAATGGTCAAGCCAGGACTTTCACTCATATCAACAGCCAAATCCGAATCAGTTCTCACTTCAAACGAATGAAGAAAACGAGCAAGACCTAGATGAAGCACTTGCATAGCCAAGGAAGACCCTGGGCATGATCTTCTTCCCGAACCAAATGGGATCAGCTCAAAGTTCTGTCCTCTAACGTCAAACTCTTTCGCTTCTCCTGTAAGAAACCTCTCTGGTCTGAACTCGTTTGGTTCTACCCAAACGTTTGGATCTCTTTGGATTTTCCATACGTTTACTATCAGTCTTGTGCCGCAAGAAACGTGGTAACCTGCGACTGTGCAATCTTCCAACGCCTCTCGAGGGCCTAAGAGAGGACCAGCTGGATACAGTCTCAATGTTTCTTTGATGATCGCTTGAAGATACACCAGATTTTCTATGTCTGAATCCTCGACATTCCTGTCTGTGCCAACGTGGAGGTCTATCTCATCTTGCGCTTTCTTTAACATGTCTCTGTTGTTTAGAAGAAGAGCAATGGCCCATGTGAGGGTTGAAGCTGTTGTGTCACTTCCTCCAAGAATCAGTGCCTAATCATTCAAATTTGTGTCATTAAATATGTACAAATCAGTCATAAGCTACATAATTTTTCTAACACGAAAAATCGGTCTACGCACACCTAAGCACTAAACCCCTATAAAACACTTATTACCGCCTAAGGGAATGATCACCCCCCGTTTTTTAGTCGGGGTATTTAACTCATGATTTGACATTTTTTTTTTACATTTTTCGGTTAAGAGATGGCTCTTATATCTCTTATTTAAGAGTGGTCTTAGCTTTTCTTAGCAAAATCTAAAAAACGTTATAAGCTACATAATTTTTCTAACACGAAAAATCGGTCTACGCACACCTAAGCACTAAACCCCTATAAAACACTTACTACCGCCTAAGGGCATGATTACCCCCCGTTTTTTAGTCGGGGTTCTTAACTCATGATTTGACATTTTTTTTTTTACATTTTTCGGTTAAGAGATGGCTCTTATATCTCTTATTTAAGAGTGGTCTTAGCTTTTCTTAGCAAAATCTAAAAAACATTAAGAACCGTCTCTTAGCCGAATGTAAGAATCCGAGTTAATTAAGAGACTAAGGTTAATCATGGTCTAACGATTTCAAGAAAGTTGTAATGTACATTAGAATAGAAATAATGATAAATATCATCTTCTATTCAAGCTTAACATCCATTTACAAAAATAAGTTGGGTAGTTAAAGGTATACCAGGCAGGTAGATTTAATGCTAGTATTTGCATCATACTGAAGATGGGAGAGTTTGCCTTGTTCCGCAAGTGACAACATAACATCAATGAAGTCTGAATCGTTCTCTTTATTTCCTGAAAATTTTCGCTGCTGCCGATGGTTATCAATCCATCTCTCGAGAATCACATCTAGTTCGCTACCCGTTTTTTTCATCTCCTTCTCATGTCCTTGCAGATCAAACCACCCTAATGTCGGAAAAGCATCAGACATCGTGAATATACCAATGAGGTGAAAGAACTTTGTGATGGCCTTTTGGCATTGCCTCGCCTCCTCGGTCTCTTCAGGGGTTGCTGAGCCACCACCGAAGTATCGTTTTCCAGCCACCATTCTTACGATCATGTTCAGTGTCATGTCCTCTAACCACCTCTTTAGATCAACCATTACTGGTTCTGAACCACCTTTCTTGACCCACAAGGAATACAAATCTTTCACACCTGCATGCATGTGAAACATCACATAGTATCACAACAACGTAACAGTATTCAACAACTATTGTAATATCCTTTAGAAGATATGATTAATAACAAAGTCGTATAAAAAGATGCTAGACAATCCCCTAAATATGAAAGAGTTATTACAGATCATATAGTCTCTAAATTGTCATTTTATATATACTAAAATTAACCTAAAAATGTTTATATTCCCCTAAATCTCAGATCCATTGTGATTATCCTGTATCTTGTTAATAACTAATTGTTTTTGACAATTTTTAAACAATTACCCATTGAGATTTCTGAGACACGGACATGCTTGAGCATCTGAAGGCGTCGGTTAGAAAGTAGCTCGATGGTTGCGATCTTACGCATCTCGCGCCAAAAAGAGCTGTAAGGTGCAAACCCGAAGACAGCATAATTGTAACCCATATGCTTTGCGGCTGCAGTCATAGGTCGTGAAGCCAAGGCTTTGTCGTTCACAGTGAAACACTCTTTAGCCACCTCAAAACTGCTCACAACAAATGCTTTACTGCTCCCGAGTCGTAACGACATGGCTGGACCGTAATGGTTAGCCATTTCTCCTAAGGTCCGGTAGAGAAGTTTTTCTTTGCCACCGAGAAGGTGAAGATGGCCGATGATGGGCCATGCACCGCTTGGTTCAGGAGCTTTTACATGTTTTGGCTTCTTTGTTTTCTTGAAAAGAACAAACAAAACAAAAACGAGGAGTGGAGATAATAAAGAAAATAAATAAGTATCCATATCGTTGTGATAGTGAAAAGAGATGCGTTTTGTTTGTTGATTATGTGTTGAATGATCGAAGAGTATGGTCTCTATTTATATGCACGGTAGACGGGTAGAGTGACATGCAAGTATGAGGCATCGAATGATCTCTTGATTATAATCCTGCAAGATCCATGCATGAATTTATGTTGTTATGTCATATCATTATTATCAATTATCTATTGATTACACGCAAGGAATTTCGAGTGATTAATTAATTACTTAATGCATTCTTTGTTGTTTCACTAGTGAAGTGCATGCGTGGACCTCGTCACCAAAATTATAAATTTAAAGTTAAGTCAACATCTGTGTGTTGCACAATGCTGGAACTCTGGGTTGGTAGGACTTTTAACTTGCAAAGTTTATGGTTATAGAAGGAAAAACAAAAAACAAAAACAGAAAATCTTGCAGGATTGTTGTAATGATTAATACTTAACTAAGACAGGTCGGATTGTTCAGAGAATGTATGCAGTATTAAAAAAAGTCTTAAGAATATCCCCTATCCCCTATCCCCTATCCCCTATCCCCTATATATATTATTTGAGAATCATTTAAAAAGTTGTAACCTTAAATTTGTAAGAATTAAAAATAACACCAATCCTATGTGGCATAGCTATTTGGCTTCTATTTCAAATTCCAAGGATTCTAGAGCATGTGATATAATGTATAGTCTAAAAATTATATTCTCTAGCAATATAATATTTCGTAAACTATAGTTGGTCGCATATATCAAATATTTATTGTTTCGCATGCTTTCCTTAAATAAAACATACGAAATTACCTAGTGTGATTAAAATATATATGACAATTAATGATTTTAAACAATAAAGATTTGATAACAATCTGTATATTTTTTCTCATTTTGTTTATTTATTTATTATTAAAATAAATTACACAATTACATTAATCATATAATAAAAATCTAGATTTTTTTGTGTGTATGTTGTATTTCGAATTTATCAAAATGAGTATAAATTACTAAAATTCTTAAAAGTCTCACATAAACTTTTAGGATCAAGGTTTTAATTTGTTTTCTATATTAAAATATAATGATTATAAGACCATATGAAGAAATAATTTTAGTTTATATATATATTTCATATCGTTTTAATTAAACTATAAATCGTATGAAAATACATACTTATATTTTGATTGTCTTCAACATATATTAAAAAGTTAATATTTTAATTTTGAAATATGTCATTTTTTAAAAAATGATTATAAATTATTGAAACTACTAAACATCTCACATAAAAAAAAAATCGTTGGTGTAAAGTTTTTGTTACACAAATATGGAAATAATCATAAAATCATATGAGTAGAAACCTCATTTAATAAATATCAATATTAAAAGTGTGCCATATAACTATTCTTTAAATTTAATTATATATCATATACAATAGATTGATTATTTTGATTTATTTACGCTAATTGCGAATAACAAAGAGTGATAGTTAAATTTATATGCATACGTCAATTTATTACATAATAGTGACTAATTTCTTAGTTATGTAATATATATATTTATTATTTTATGATATGCAGAAAATTGTAAAATAAATTATAAATATAAAATACTTATTGTGCATAAAGTGTAGATCTTAACCTAAGTATGTATCTTTTTAATTATTTTAAATCTTAAATATTTTCTAAATCCCAGGTCAAAACAAATAAACAAAATGAGAATAAACTTCAAAATCAATATTTATATCGAGTAATAACCAAAATACAAAAAAACACAACAAAAGAAAAAATTGAAGATAAATAGGATTAACACGTGAACGTAAACTTCTCATAACCATAATTGATTTTTAAATTGTTAAATCATGATTAAAACTGAGTTAATTTTTAATTTGTTAATTTTTTTAATTTTTTAAATCATTATGTTTATGTTAAATCATGACCATAATTAATTTTAATTTTTTTTTTGTATTTGACAAACTTAAAATATTGTTTTTAAAAATAATTAAAAATCTAACTTAATTTTTTTATAAAATTATTTAAAAATAATAATTTGTAAAAAAATATAGTTTTCTAATATTATTATACAAATAAATAAATTATATTAAATTAGTTTTGAAACTTTATATATTTTAAATGCAATTATTTTACCAACTGCTTCTTAAAAAAACATTAGGAAATTTGCTAATACTCTACCAATCAAGCCCAATGACACTCTGTTTATTTTCCATCACTCGAACACTAAAAAGTGAAAAGATATATGAAATCAGGTCCATTAAATTCTAAGATTTGATCTACAATTCTAATTACAATTGTTTCTGATCTTATGTATAGATAATTATTTAAAAATTCCAAAATTCTAAAATTTCAAATACATATAAAACAATTATATATAAGTTTTAAATTTATCAATACTAAAATTTTATATTTTAATTATGTATATTCTTGCGCAGGTCTTATCCTAGTTAATTCTATTATACTTCAACCTAGCGAATGTCTGTGATGCTCACAGAATATTTAGGAAATATTCTTAACTACATATGGATATTTGATATTTAATTTTTGCGAATACATAAAAAGTGAAAAAAAAATTTCACATTAGACCATCTCTAATGTATTTTGTTATTTTCACTCTTAAATAAATGAACTCTTTAATTGAGATAAAATATGCTCCAATATATTCCTCTATGATAACAATCTCGAAATATAGAGTAAAAATAGAATATTGTTATTTCTTCCTTTATAAATAGAGAAAAAATAAAAATATCTACTATAGAAAACAAAATAGAGGTGGGTTGGAAAAATTTCAGCTTCAAATACCATTATAGAAATTAAAATAACAATGGTTTGAAGATGCTCTTAATTCTTGATTTTTTCAGTATATACTGGTCTTAATTTTAGTAATAAAAATTTATTTTACATAAGTTTTGATTGATATTTCTATTTCAATAATTATGATGTTTTAAATAATGTATTAATACTTTTAATAATTTTTTAAAATAATAATAGTTGTAATTAATTGAAACATATAGAACTATGAACTCTCAATATTATTTATCTTGTTTACGACAAATTAAAAACAATACAATTAAAAATATTAAAATTACAGGACACCAATCAATATGTATTATTGATAGTCAGCTAAATATCAAATATACTGCTAAATAAACATCAAATATGTTTACTTTAGTATTTATGGTGTGACTATTGTCGTTATGTTTTAAAAATTTGAAACTATGGAGTTGTAGTGACTCTTGATAGTGTGATGTATAATTGAAAGACTGAACTTGGCAAATATAGGCCAACCTTTAAGGTTGAACCTTAACTCTTGTTGATAGTCATTACATAGAAAATTCATATAAAAATTAATGTCATTTCAGATTTTTAGATTTACGTGGAAGTCTTCTAGATTTTTATTCCGTGATGCTGGTCAAACTTAAGGTAATGACAGAAGACTTTCAGGGAAGTCTTCCACTGGAGTCGCTTTCGTCCGAGGCATTTTCAGTTGATGCTGAAGTTAGTTTCGGGCGTTTTGACTTTACCATCGAGGTGGTTGTTACTTGTCTGAGCTTGTGTTCGGCCATGAGGCAGCGTCTCGACTGATTCTGACATCCCCTGATTGCGGTGATTTCGTTGTTTGTCAGGAATTTGATGCTCAGGGGGTAAGTCGATAATGACGTTGTAGATGGCCGGGTGGTTGACGACCGCAAAGTCAACGATCTTGGTCATTTCTTTTGCCGTGACGGACAATTTCATTGAACCGAGGGTCATTGATGTGTGCCGGAGAAGTCAGTCAATGGCTTTGGTGATTGCACGACTTCGCCCAGCTGGATGTTTATTCTTCTAAGGGTATCTCGGAAGATAATGTTGACGGTGCTGCCGGTGTCGACAAGAATTCTGGCGACCTCGAAATCTCTTATGACAAGATCGATCACGAATGGATCGGAGTGAGGATGGTCGATCCCGCCAGCTTCCTCTCCATCGAAGGTAATGACTAGTTGGCACTTGTCTCGGCTTTGCGCTCGTACGCTTTGATAGCCGAACGGAGTCGTTGTAGTATTGTGATCTCCGATGATCATGTTTACTCTGCGATCTCCTGCCGTGTTTAACGCTAGACTGATTTACTTGAGATGGGTTTTCAGTCTGCTGAGGTTTATCGGGTTTTGGAGGGCGATCAGAGTCGCAGATGAGGTCTTTGACGTTTGTTACCTCAGAGAATTCCCCTGCGAGCAATTTTCCGACTAGCCTTTCTCCACATACTTTGAAATTGAAGGTCGAGTGACCGCGGGTTTGGTGGAAGTCGCCGAAGACATTTTCATCTTAAGCGGGGTTTCGGATCCACGTATTCATGGTGCACCCTGTTTCCGGTCTAGAGTTGATGGCATAATTGTGGCCCCCTGGCTTTCCTTTTTGCCGCTACGAGAGTTTTTCTTTTTGGACTTTTGACCCGGGCTCGGATCTTTCGAGGAGGTATTTGTCGGCTTATGTTTTTGCGACAGGACCCTCGTTTTTTCTTCAGTGATGATGTAGTCGGTGGTTTTAAGGAGCGCGTCCTGGATCGTTTGCGGCTTTTCCAGAGATATCCATTTTCTAAACTTTAACTTGTACTAGAGTGCTTTGCGAAGAGCGTTGATGGCCACTTTGTCGCTGATTCCGCTTACCCGTGCCATGACGGTTTTGACCTCTTTTATGAAATCTCGGAGAGGCTCGTCTTCCTCCTGGGATAGACTCTAGAGGTCTACGTCCGAAGTTTTGGATCTATGAACATCGAATATCGTTTGAGAAGTTCTGATGCTAGTTGGCGGAAACTTCCGACATTCCTTTAAGATTTTCAATGAAGTGGCGGCACTGGCCGGCATCTCTTCGTTGTCCCTGAATTTGGCCCTTTCCATTGTGACATCATTAGTCATTTTAGATTGTCTAAGTGGAATTTTTCAACTAAAAAACAAAATTTAAATCACATAATTTTAGATGAGATGTTCGAGTAATTTTAGATGAGATGTTAGAGTAATTTTAGATGTGATATCAAAGGTTTGCAAGTGTGCTTTGGGATCGGTCGTGCCGTCATACATATGTATCTTGATCTTTCTGGGATCCGACACCCTAGTGTATATGATTTGGGCAGTGAAGGGAGTTTTGTAGGCTTCTTCGAGCAGGCGATCGATTATTGGCGCAGAGGTAGTTGCGTGATGGATTTGAGAGTTCACGGCTTTAACTTCTGCCACCGTTTTCAGGAGATCACTGTGGAGGTCGCGGATCTCGGAATTGTCGCTAGCGTTTTTCCGAGCTTGTCGGTGATTGCTGTGAGTTTTTCGAGTTTGCTCATCGGCTAATTTTCATGCTCTTCCCAGTAAAGAGTTTCCTCTTGTTCAGTCATGGGTTTGTCGAGTAGATCTTACGAGCCGAGCGGCTTCTTGTACGTCGTGGGTGGACGTCTGCGTTTTTGTCCGAGGTCTCAGACGAATTGCTGGAGTCCACGTTAACACGCTTGATTTCTCCATTACCTTCTACTAATTCTCCTCCTTTGCCTGGTCTCCCTGAGTTACTAGGTCGTGGCCATCGTACATGCAAACCATCGGTTCTCCTACAAGACTATGTGGTTAATGCATTACAAGCTAGTACACCCCCATCGTCTCCCTTGTTTCACCGACCCTATTCACGGTTCCTCTACTTCGGTCTCAGGTACGCCCTATCCCATTACCAATTATCTATTTAAGGTTTGTTTTTCTTCTGCTCACATGGCATTCTTAGCTACACTAACATCTTCGTCTGATCCTAAGAACTAAAAGGGGCTTCAGTTGATGATGATGATTCTATGTCTGATGAATACACGGCACTCGAAGCATATCACACTTGGGATATTACTTAGCTACCTCCTGGTAAAAAGGCATTCGCTTGCCAATGGATATACAAAACTAAATTTGATGCACATGGAAAGAAAACTCGCAAAAAGTCTCGCTTGGTAGCATGTGGTAATTGTCAAAGGGAAGATCTTGATTATACTGATACATTTGCCCCAGTGGCTAAACCTACATCTGTTCGAATTCTTCTTTAAGTTGCTGTTGTTAAAAAGTGGGAAATCCATCAAATGGATGTTCACAATACATTTTTGCATGGTTATTTAAAAGAAGAAGTATATATGAAGCTTCCACCAGGGTTTGAAGATCCAGATCCAACAAAGGTTTGCCAACTACGTAAATCTATCTAGGGCCTCAAACAATCTCCTAGATGTTGGTTTTCTAAGCTTACCACTACCTTGAAATCATACGGTTTCAAGCAGAGCAAAGCTGACTATCTCATTTTTCTTTTCTAAAAGGAGCAGTGCGTCTTCATATTTTGATCTATGTCGATGATTTGATTATTGCTAGCAATGATCTCTTTACTATGCAACAGTTCAAGAACTATTTACACAAGTGTTATCATATTAAAGAGTTGGGAAAACTGAAGTATTTTCTAGGCATTGAAGTAGCACACAATGACGAGGGAATTTTTCGTTCCCAACGCAAATATTCTTTAGACATTGTCACTGAAACTGGTCTACTTGGTTCGAAACCGTCTTCAGTTGCCATCAAGCTCAAGTGCTCAACCATAAACTACTTCTCTCCGAGTCTCCTTACCTTACTGATCCTACAGCTTATCGGTGTCTAGTTTGTCGTCTCATATATTTGACGTTTACACATCCAAAACTAGCTTATGCAGTTCATGTGTTGTCTCAATGTACGCAGAAGCCGCATCAAGACCATTGGAATGCTGCATTACGTATTGTTCGTTATATCAATGGTTCACCTACTCAGGGAATCCTTCTTCGTTCTGATTCTGATCTCCAAGTAAAATGCTTATTGCAATTCGGATTGGAACACATGTCATATTTCTCGACGATCCCTCAGTGCCTACATTGTCTTGCTTGGCCAGTCTCCAGCTTGTTGGAAAGCAAAGAAGCAAGATACAGTGTCTATGTCTTTTGCAGAAGCAGAGTATCGTGCTATGGCTTTTACCTTGAAGGAACTTAAGTGGGTCAAACAACTTTTACAGCCTTTGGAATCAATCATTCTCAACCTATGAATCTTTACTGCGACAGCAAGGCTGCTATCTACATAGCAGCCAATCCAGTCTTTCATGAACGCATATAACATGTCGAGTCTGATTGTCATGCCGTACGTGATGCCGTGGAAGACAAGCTAATCGCTACTCAACACATTTCTACAAAAGAATAACCTGCTGATCTCCTAACCAAAACACTACCATCTACTACATTTGATACCTTCTTTCCAAGTTGGAAATTCATGACCTCACTTTCAACTTGAGGGAGAGTATAGAAGATAAAGATAAATCTTAGAGATAATGATCATTAATACCTTGTAATTATCTATATTCATATTACCTTTAGGTTTAGGAGTCTCTATGTTGTACATGAATAACATTAAAAGTTTACATTATATTTTAAACTCCAATCTCAATAAGCTCTTTCTTGAAAATCTAAGTTTAGAGACATACTGTATAATAATTTTCATTGATGAATGGATCAGTCGGTGCACGGCAATAGTTCCCAGCTTTTATCAAACAACATACACTCATTAGGACTGCGTAACCAGCGTGTGTCTTCAACCATTTGAAAGAAACTTTGTCCAGAAACTCTCGAGTGAGTTTTTACTATCTTCAAGCAAGAACGTGATACGTGACACACTTAAGAAGCGACAGAGCACATGAGGAAGTGATGCCAGATCGATCAGAGAGACTTAAGGAGCTAACCAGACGAAAGAAACCCAAGTAGGATGCAATTGAAATAACAAAAGCATAGCTTTTTTTTTCTTTTCTTTTGAACACAAAAAAAAAAAAGCAATAGCTACATAGAGAAAGCAATACCTCTTTGTTACAGCCAAAGCCTCAACGCTGAATATGACACATATGATAAGAATCTTATGAGTAGCCTGACAGAAACACACAAAAATCAAGAGGATGAGAAAAATAAGCAACTTTAAGTGATTGCAACTCAAAAAGATAAACAAAAAAAGGTCAGAGATCAATGTATTGATCAATAATGCTAAAGGGTCTTACTTTTAATACGCTCTTTTAACTGAAGAAAGCAAGAACCAAAATCAGTCCCGAATCTGTAGCATGGACAAGTAAAAACAAAGACATATACACTATTATCCAAAGTCTCTTGCTTCCTAATCACTCTTTCAGGAATGATAAAATAATTCAATTACTCTAATTACAGTAAACGTTCTCCCAGTATGCACCAAACGTTTAATAATAATTCTAGAGAAAGGAATTCGTGACCCAAATGGGATTTCGAATTAAAGATGATATCAAACTATTAAAAAGAGCAGCGAAATGTTCTACATAGAGATGATGCAATAATTGATTTTTTTCTCTCTAAATTTCAAGTTTATTTCTTTAGATGGCATTTATTTCAATTGAAGTTCAAGTGTAAAATTATTTTCTAATAATCCCAAATAATTGTTGATATGTATTATTGATGATATCCATATTTTCCAATAAAGAGAAATTCAGGAGAATTTCTACAAAAATTATATTAAAAAATCTTGGATTTGTAAGAAAATTTATAAATACCATATGTAGTAAGGAAGATTTGGAAAAAAGAAAAAGAAAAAATTCTATGAAATCCCTAATCTAATAAAAAAAACTAATATTAATAAAAATCCATTATTTGAAGACCATATAACTGTGTATAATAAGTCGTTAAAAGTTTGGAGATGAAGACGAATATTTTTATCTGGATGTATATAGTACCGGCATTCGATGAGCTATAGAGTGAAAGCTAAACAGAAGAACATGAATGACATGATGAGAATCTCCATGATCGCCAAGTGATTTAAACCAACCCCATTGACAATTGTAGGTCTTATTAAGAGCCCATATGTAAAATATCATTTGAATTGTGGTCGACTCGAAGCTATGACCTGTCCTAACGGAGACAAACGTCATGTTCCTCTTTTGTTTTTTTTTCTGCTCCACTTCAAGCTTCCCCTTACTCCGAGGGAAAGTCAACTTTTTTCAAGTATATACAAAATTTTGACATGTGATTGCAATAACTGTATGACTTTGTATTTTTGGGCATTGTCAGTCGCAGTTTTAAGATGTCTTGGCTCTTTGTAATGATTTCTTTAATAATATATTTGGCTTTTTGGTAAGTTATTAAAAACCATCCGATACAACTTGCAAGATAAAAACAACAGTTTTTTTTCTGTATTCACTTTTATATCTTTACTATATGTATATATACTAGATATGGACCCGTGCATGATGTTTAATTTTTACGGACACATAAAAATGAAAAAAAAAAATTCACATTAGACCATCTCCAATGTATTATGTTATTTTCACTCTAAAAAATGAACTCTATAAGAAAGATGAGATATGACCCAATATATTCCTCTATAACAGCAATCTCTAAATATAGAGTAAAAATAGATAACTGCTATTTTTTTTGTTAAAAAAAAGTTCTTGAATTTTTTTAGTATATACTGGTCTTAATTTTAGTAATAATAATTTTTCTCTTACATAAATTTTGATGTTATTTCTATTTCAATAATTATGGTGTTTGAAATAATCTATTAATATTTTTAATTACTTTTCAAAATAATAATAGTTGTAGTTAATTGAAACATATAGAACTGTGAACTCTCAATATTATTTATCTTGTTTAAGGAAAATTAAAAATAACACAATTAAATATATTAAAAGTACGAGAAAAAGGCCAAAAAAACATGAACTTTCAAATATAGGCAAAAAAAAGCTTGAACTTATGTTTAAGCCAAAAAAACTCTAATCTTTTTTAAATAGCTAACTAGATCTCAACCCGCGCAACCGCGCGGGTATTTATTTTTATATAAACATTTTTTACTTCTAAATAGGTATATATTATATAAGGTGTGTATATCGAAAATGATGATTAATTATTATATAGTATAGATTAATTATTGTTAGAAAATGATGATTTTGTTATTTTTAAAAATAAACTATATAATTTTTAAAGTTAACATCAAAATATATAAATAATTGACTTATACTATTACAATATTAAATTATATAAGTTTAATTTAAACATGTATTTATTATAATATCTATAAATCCAATGGATCATCTAATTTTTATTAGCCCAATAAAAAAATTAATAAGCCCAATAAATGTTATTAGTAAATCTAATGAATGTTATTTAATGATTGAATAATATAATGTTATGAATTCTATTAGATAGTCCATTTTAAAATATCACACATGAAGTGAAGTCATGACTTCTCTTTTAATATATAAGATTTCAATTCCAAATTTTGTCGACTGGGCCAAATCAGAAACCCGATTAAGTCCACAGTTAATTCATTAAACGTCTGTTAAGTTGCAAAACGACGTCGCTTTGAAAATTGATTCACAAGTAACAAAACGACGCTGTTTTGTATATCTTCCTTTTTTATCTTCGCTTCTTCTTCTTCTCTTTTACGACAGAGAAAATCCCCAAATTAAAAAATCCTAATTCTCCAATCTTTTAATTCTCTATGTCTGAGGAAAGTGAGAGCCGTGCAACAAAGTATTATTATGTGTGTGCGGATGATGAGATTCGTGGATTTCCGAGACAGTGTTTCTGTGGACGTGGTGCTTCGATTTCGGTATCAAAGACGAAGGAAAATCCTGGTCGTCCCTTCTTTCGCTGTCCGAGTTTTAAAGATGTATGTTGAACTTAATAAAGAGATTAGAGAATTGAGAGATTATAGAATTAGGGTTTTCAATTTGGGATTTTGATTTGCAGATTTTTTTATGTCGTGAAAGAGAAGAAGAAGAAGAAGAAGAAGAAGAAGAAGAAAAGATAAAAAAAGGAAGATATACAAAACGATGTCGTTTTGTTACTTATATATCAATTTTCAAAACGATGTCGTTTTGCAACTTACATACGTTTAATGAATTAACCGTGGACTTAATTGAGTTTCTGATTTGGCCCAGTCAACGAAATTTAAAATTTAAATTAGCTATTTTAAAAAGATTGGAGGTTTTTTTGGCATAAATTTGAAAGTTCATGCTTTTTTGGCCGTTTTCTCTTAAAAGTACACAACACCAATCAATATGTACTATTATAGTCAGTTAAATATCAAATATATTGCTAAATAAAACATCAAATATGTTTATTTTAGCATATATGGTGTGACTATTGTCGTTATGTTTTAAAAATCTGAAACTATGGAGTTGTAGTGACTCTTGATAGTGTGATGTATAACTGTTAGACTGGACTTGGAAAATATAAACCAAAACTTTTAAGGTTTAACCTTAACTCTTGTTGATAGTTATTGTATAGCAAACACATATAAGAAGTTAACGTCATTTCAGTTTGAAAGACTATTTTGCATATGTTGGTATGAAACTTATGCTACGAATAAAAATTTGTTTTTCCATATAACTTCTGGTTATGATATTTACTTAGTAATCATGTTGTGTAGGTTAAATTATTAGTAATATTGTCCATTACAAAGTCTTTTTCTTTGATTTTGATTCTTTAGTAGTATGACATACAAGATTCCATTTCAAATTCATTTTCTTTTATTTTAATATGTAGTATCATGATCTACAATAGCATAACCAATTTTATATGCCGATACGAACAAACACACATAAACATAATCACACATAAGCATAATAGTCACATTACTCATCAAACTTACATAAAACAACAAGTACAATGTTTAAGTATAATTGTGGCAGTAACTAATGTACGACAACATGATTATAAAATATATTTTTAAAAAAAATCAACATCACTTGAAAATCAGGATGTCACATGTTATTTCCTCTACATGTGATACCTAAAAAAGAGTAGATCACACGAAGATGTGAATGAAAATGATAAACTATTTTAGCTGGAAACTGGATTATTCTTATAAATATTAGTATTAATTATTCCAAAAACATTTTAATTAGGAATTTGAATAAAGGAAAACTAATTAAACATTTTTTTTACAACTTTCTTACGTTTTTGATGTTAGAAAAGGATAATTACTATTAAATATTTTTTTTCTGACAATTATGTTTTCATTAGAAGTTTAGAAGACGATAATTTGTATTAAATAAATTATTTGCTTATATTTTTTGTTTAAAATATTTAAAAAGAAAAATACAACTAAATAATTACATTTTGTTTAAATTTTTCTCTTATCATCTTATTATAAAGTTTATCAATCGTGAGATATTTATTACAGAAAAAAATGAAAATGAAAATTACTATCAAATAATATTTCTAATTATTTTTTCTTTAGGATTTTAGAAAAGGAAATCTAGTATTAAATAAATTATTTTACAAATATCTTTGTCTATAGGATTTTTAAAAAGGAAATTTACTAAAAATCCCTATCAAATGATTTTAAAATTTAATTTTTATTTTTTTCAAAATAAATATTTTTGAAAATAATTTTTTTCAACAATAATTTTTTTTTATATATATATTTTTAATCATGAGATATTCTAAAACATGTCAAAATTTCTATAAGAGAATTATTTACAATTAGATTTTGTTTAAGATTTTAGAAATAGAAATTTACTATTAAAAATATTTATAATTATTTTTTAAAAAAATCAGTTTTAGTATCTTAATATTTATTGTTAATTATGATATAGTTTAACACATATCCCAATTATAAATATATAACTTTCATATGTAACAATCATGTTAATTAACAACTTTAAAGAATCAACCTCAATATAATCTTTTACAAATTATTTTCAAAATCTTTTACAACTTTTTTTCAGTTTTTATTTTTGTTTAGGATTTTTGAAATTTTTTCTAAAAATACTATTAAATAATTTCTAAAGTTACTTTTTACTAATAAATAAATTTTAAATTTATTTTTTCAAAATTTGTTTTTATTATCTTATTTTATATATATATATATATATATATATATATATATATATATATTGTTTTATTCATTATATATTGTAAAAATGTCACAATACTAAAAGGAAAATTACTATTAGATAGTAATTATAATTAATAAATATATAAATGTCATATGTTACAATCATGGTTATTAACAATTTTGAAAAATCAAACTCAATACATTTTTTTTTACAAATGATTATTAAATATATAACTGTCATATGTTACAATCATGTTAATTAGCAACTTTAGAATCAAGATCAATACAATTTTTTACAAATTATTTTTCAAAATATTTTACAATTTTTTTCAATTTTTTTTCTTTACGTTTTTTAAAAAAGTAAAATTTCTAAAAGAATACTATTAAATAATTTTTAAAGTTACTTTTTACTAATAATTAAATTTTAATTTTACTTTTTCAGAATTCGTTTTTATTAGATTATATATATATATATATTTAATCACTATATATTTTAGAACATGTCACAATCTTAAAAGGAAAAGTACTATCAAATAATATTTTACAGTTATCTTTTGTTTAGGGTTTTAAAAATGTAAAATTACTATTAGACAATAATTATAATTAATTTTAAACAAAATTTGTTTTTGTTATTATTTTAGTATATATATTTTTTTAATTATGAAATAGATTCACACATGGCATAATCTTAACTACATAATCGTCATGTGTCACGTTCATGTTAATTAGTAACTTTAAAGAACTAAGCTTTATATAATTAGATGGAGCAAGACATCATTTCCAGATACAATAGATATTGAGATTTTGTTGTTCAAAAACAAATATATTTAGATTAGGGTGATTCCAACGAAGTAATAACTATATATATGACTCTATTCAAAAATAATAGTTATATGGCTAATAGGTAGATGGTTGAAGTGGATAATGGGAATAGGTTGGTTGTGTGACTTGTGACATTAACATCAACGTGAAAAATTTCATATTAATCTAAGCAAATCAATCTCATATTGTATTATGTAGTGTTACTTGCATTTCTTTTACAATCATTATCTTGGTCAAAGTGATCCACCTCTGTTGCAACATACACTAGTAGTGGACTGATCGAGTCAGAGGAGGTCATCAAGTACGTGAGTGCTTTCGTAAAAGCGAGAGACGTACGGCGTCGTCGTCTCGTACTCCATTTCGTCAGTCTCCATAAAACGCCTAACTTCTTCAACGTCCCACATCAGAAAATCACCTTCTTCTTCACCACTTTCAATCTTGTGATCCCTCTTTAACCCTTCTTGCTCATCTTGATCAATGCTTGTGATTCTCGGGACCAACAAGATGTTCTTGATCCGATCAAGATCATGTTGTCTAGACGAGATACCTGTGGCGAGCTTGTTCAGGAGACTAGCCGAGCCGGAAGGTGAGGAGGTAGAAGACGACGTAATCGTTGAAGAGCTAGCACAGTCTTCTTTAGTGGTGGTGACGGTGAGGTTGTTATTGATGATGGGTTCGTGGGTCATCGGGTCAATTCCTTTCCTCAACAGTCTTTTCTTGAGAGAAGAGTTCCAATGGTTCTTGACGTCGTTGTCTGTTCGATTATCCATCTCCTTCGCAATGGCTGCCCACCTTCAATTTTCAACGATTACAACAACAAAGTTTAGAATTACTTCTATTATATCAAGCTCAAAACCAAGACTTATTAATCTCCAAGTCCATAGAATAGTTCGATATTCTTACAATTCAACTTGCCCACAATACCAATATCTAGTTGAAACCTCGTTATTATTGTTTACAAAAATATGAATATGAAGCCGCTTGTATATTTAAATACCGTCATAATTACTAATACTAACAGTTTTAAGAAGTTACTGCAGTTGCAATCATGTTATCATATGCATGACTAATTATGTTAAATAAATAAAATTATAACTTGATCGGATTTCCCTTAAAAGAACAAAGAAAGTAAGGTTAGATCGTACGTATCACGTATTTAGTAATTAAGTGCCTGGTTTGACGATGTTGATATTATTATTTTTTTTTTTTTGGTAAAAAACGATGTTGATATTATCTTGTAACCAATGTTGTTATTTCTTGATATATAGTTTTTTTTTTGTAATCCATCAGGCACATGTAATTAAATCTGTTCACTACAACCTTTATATATGTTTCGAATAAAAATTATTTTTTGTGAAAATAAAATTCACATCAGATATAACTTTGTTTTAGGGTAATAACTGAATCATAAAACATGAGATCCTCTGGTACAAACTAAATGAAAGAATAAAATAATAAGCTTTCGCTGGTGAACAAAGTCTCTAAATATACTGACATCGTTTTATTTTACTTGTCATTTTAGGTTTATTTACATAGATTAATTTTGCATATCATTTATAACTTAACCACATTTCAACCAATATAGAAAATAAAATAATATATAGATTAATAAACTTTATTTTGAAATTATAAAATGACATTTATTTTAAATAAAAAAAATTTCTACAATGACATAAATTGAAACGAAAAAATACTATGTAACTAAGACTTTGTTGTGTACTCCAAAGTCTACAATATTACTCCTTCCGTTTCAATTTATATGTCATTATAAGATAAAATTTTGTTTCAAAATAAGCGTTGTTTATATGATATTCAATTTTTTCATTGATTAAAATATGTTTAGTGTATAAACAATAATGTTTTTATTTAGAGAATATGCAAAATTAAATGTTGTCTTAATATGTGTGCAAAAATTCAAAAAAATAATTCAATTGAAAAGAAAGAAATATATGTTTAACATCCTTTAAACATTTTATGTTAATTCAAACCCTAGGTTTTGACTTTCGGCAAAGCAGTAGTTTCTTGTGCAAATGTGTTATGAAGTTTGATTACTCCCTTCGTTTCAATCTATATGTCGTTGTAAGATAAAATTTTCATTTCAAAATAAGTGTCATTTTATCATTTTAATGAAAAAATTATTAATTTTATATGATATTCTATTTTTTATTGGTTGAAATATGGTCTTTGTAGGATAAAATTTTCATTTCAAATTAGTGGCGTTTTATAATTTTAATGTAAAATTTATTAATTTATATGAAATTCTATTTTTTATTGGTTGAAATATGGTTTAGTATATAGGTAATAATGCTTTTATTTAGAAAATATGTAAAATTAAATGTTTTCATAATATGTATGTAAAATTTCAAAATGACAACTAAATTGACATAGAATGCGTATATGTTTAACATCTCTTTAAGATTTTATGTTAATTCAAACTGTAGGTTTTGACTTTTGGAAAAGCAGTAGTTTTCTTGTGCAAATAATTCAGAGCAGCAGTTATTAATTAATAAACTAACCTGTTTCCGAGAACAGCATGAAGTTTGATGATCTCTTCTTCTTCCTGGGGAGTGAATTTGCCTCTTTTAATACCAGGCCTTAGGTAATTAAGCCACCTTAATCTGCAGCTCTTTCCACATCTCTGCAAACCTGTTTTGTTCCATGGTAAATTATTGAGATGTCAATTTTGATAGTCAATATATAGTTTGATTATCCTATTGTAGTAGCAAACGAAAGAAAGTTGCGAAAAGTTAAACATTTCCTCAACAATGGAAGAGGCACACTTTTCCTCAACAATGGAAAAGGCACTATTTAAAGTTTGAAGATCTAAAATATATATAATCGTTCTATATAGATATGGACAATGCATAGGAACACATGTCGCTCTTGAGCACCTTTAATAGATTCCAATCGATTTTTATAATATCATATGGATAGAATTGGCATAAAGTTTCAACTAGATTCCGGAACAAAATATATAATCATACTATATAAAGAAATTTAGCAATCATTCATCCACCATTGTTACGATATTTTAGCACACCTGGTGTGTGTACTTCCACTTTCTATATTTGGTTTGGTTACAAAGATTATTCGCTAGGATTTCTTGGAGTTTTTATGATTGAGTTTGAAACCCCAACAGAAAATGGATTCTGCTATTCACTTCAGTATGTAGAATATATGAATATATATATATATATATATATATATATCAATTTCAGTATGTAGACTTTCTAAACCCCTTGTTCAAAAATATTTTGCTGAACAAAAAGGAAATAGAGAACATGTACAAAATCGGTTTTGGGAATAAACATTGGTGTAAAACTTTATAATAACGTACATCAACATAAATCTCCAAATTCTATTTTTTTTTTAATTATTAATTTTTAATGAGTATCCTATACATATATAACCTTTAAAATCTAGGGCCGTCCTGAAACCCATAAACACAAAGTATAGATTCACTTTTATATATGATTTTTCTTTGTAAATGACACATTTATATATGTTTAATGTTTATGAAACATTTTTTGACAAAAAAATATTTGAGATATTGGTTCTATATATAAGGATGTGGTGTAACTGTGTAAGTTTGTGTATCTATCTATATATACCAGATCTTCTGGGGAGAGTACGCCAATCACAGATGCCATGCTCATTGATGTAAGCGACAAGGTTTTGATCTTCCTCCGCCGTCCACTCTCCTTTCTTCATCCCGTCCCCGTCGACCCACCTCTTCCTCCCCATTTTTCTCAGACCGACCAATCCTATTACTGTCACGTTCATACCTTCACACGATAAGACGAGTCTTAAAATAAGATAAATACTTTACTTGGAAGCGAGTCTCTCGCTCTCTCTCTCCTTTTTTACTTATAGTGGAATGGTCTCAAGAGAGTGAGCAGTGTGAGATTGTGTCCAAGGGATAATATAACACCTCAATTTTTGGTTTATTATACAGTGACTCTATAAATTAATAATGTTATGATTATACCAAAATTATTATTTTTATTAATTTATAAAAATTATTAATTTATCAATATACTAATTGAACCAAAATTTGATTTAGAATACTATAAAATAATATAATTTTTTATTTCCATTGTTGGATTTTTTATTTCAAAATCCTCGCCTTAGATTTAACGACTTTTAAAGATATTTTCTGGAAAAGTGAATTCAAAATACAAATATCTGGAGTCTTGATACAAAATTAATAGTGGTAATAAATTTTAAAACTTGTCGAGCTCAGTTATTGGAAAACTAAAGAAAGAATAAATGATTATCTACAGATATTCCCAATCAATAAATTTCATAGTGATCCATGCTTTTAATGGTAAAAACAGATCAAAAGGTGTAGATCAAACGGTTTATACAGATCAAACATAATAAGTGTAGATTAAATGAGACAAATGCATATCAAGTGGATCATACATGAAAGACGTAGATCAAAAAAATATTATAAATTATGAATGAAAAGATCAATTCAAAAGAATAGATCCTATATATTGAAATGATAAAAAAAAATATACCAAAATATCAAAATAAATATCTTAGATGTTGTAGGATCAGTCGAAATGTTTATTGAATTTTCCATAAGATGCTTGTACTTCTCCAGTTTTCGTTTTAGTTGATCAAAATTATCTTTGAAAAACCGCTAGAATACTAATATTAAATTCTTTGTTGATATTTATATAGAAAGATTTATACCTTTTTTGTTGAAAAATATTGTGTTTTTTCTCTGACTGAATGTCATACTTATAATTTTAAAAATGATATGCTTATAATTTTAAAATTGACACAAATAGTATTTAGTGTAAACTATATTCTTTGAGCTAAATATTATAGATAAATTATAAAATCAAATAAATATATTTAAAGTTAGTGTTTGTAGCAAAATCATTTATTAGCAAAAAAAATAAATCAACACTTTCAAATGTTAGCGGGTGAGATCTGCATACAGATCTCCTTTTTTTCACTCACAAAAAAATATTGAACTGCATACAGATTTCACTCGCTAACATTTGAATGTGTTGATCTATTTTTTCACTAATAAATGATTTTGCTACAAACACTAACTTTACAAATAATGTATAATAATTAGCTCAAACAATATAAATCACACTAAATACTATTTGTTTCAATTTTAAAATTATAAGCATATCATTTTAAAATTTATAAATATGTCATCCAGTCAGAAAAAACACAATATTTTTTAACAAAAAAAATAAATCTTTCTATATAAATATTAACAAATAATTTAATATTAGTAACCTGCCGGTTTTTCAAAGATAATTTTGATCAACTAAAACGAAAATCAAAGAAGTACAAGCATCTTATGAAAAATTCAATAAACATTTCGGCTGATCCTACAACATCTAAGATATTTATTTTGATATTTTGGTATAATTTTTATTGTTTGAATATATGATCTATTGTTTTGAACTGATTTTGTCTCATAATTTATAATAAATTGTTTGATCTGCATTTTATATGCATGACCCGCTTGATCTGCACTTGTCCTACTTAATTTCATTTGTCGTACATGATATGCATTAACCGTTTGATCTACATTGCTTGATCTGCTTTTATCATTCGAAGCCAAAAAATGAATGATAAAAATAGTACAGGAAAACTGCAAGTACGAAAAAACTTTACTTGTCTCGCTCCTCCATTCGAAGACCATAATTTTTCATAAGATGGTATAACTTCGTAGCCACTTTAGCGTGATTACTAAATAAAGAAAGACTAATGGTTGCACACAAAAAAAGGACAAATGACTCACGTGTAAATTCTGGTTTTTTTTTTTTTTTTTTTCGAAATCTTCAGGAACATGCTAGTAACACAAGTCGTTAAAGCCAAAGTAAGATAATCCTGTTTCTTTTGGAAAGTAGAAAATCCTGTTACATGCATACATGTATCATAAAGTATTAGAGTACGTTGCAGGTATTCTTTTCCCCCTATCTTAGCTTATAATAATATATGATATTGGCTTAATAGTAATACTAACTAATAGTGATGATACTGATTTACTGTTAGAAAAGGGAAGCAGAAGAGCATGTGATGTTGATCAAAAAAAAAAAAAAAAGGGCATGCGCTAAATAGTTTTTTGAAATTTTATATTCATCAATCAATAATATCTTGTTATTTTCTATTCCATATCTTTTAAAAAGAAACTTTTTTACCAAATTGTATTATGTTTTTTAAAATAAAATAGTAAAATAAAACAAAATAGAAGTAGTAGCAAAAAAATAAAATTTAAAAATATTTTTAATACCGTCAACAAAACACTAAATTCTAAATCTTAAACATTAAATCATAAACCTTTGGTAAACTCTAAACTCTTAGGTAAATTGTAAACCTTTAGATACATCTTTATTTCTAAACATAAATACTAAAAATTAGATCTTAAAAACACTAAATCTTTAATCGAAAACCCTAAACCCTTAAATAAATCCTAAACCCTAGGATTTATGGTTTACCGAAAAGTTTAGAATTCATAATTTAGTATTTAAACGTTTATTAATTTAAAATTAATATTTATCCAAAAACTCATGCTTTATCCAAAAATTTAGAGTTCACTCAAGGATTTAAAATTTAAGATTTATTATTTTGTTGATAGCGTTAAAGTATATTTTAAAAAAATTGATACTCTTACTATTTTTTACTTTTTATTTTTTTAAAAAGATATAACTTGGTAATTTTTTTGTTATTTTGTTCCAATTTCTAAATAATAAAATATTATTGGTATTTAAATTTTAGGAGGTGAACAGAAGCAATTTTTTTTATGAGCCACAACTGCAGATGATATCATGTTCACATCTTTTCTTTTTCCCGCTATTCACCTCCTTTTTCACACTTGATGGATAAAAAAGCCGCGTCGGTCATCGTCCTATCTATTGCTTTTTATTGACACGTGCATAAATGCAAATGTCCACACTTTATGGATGATTTATTATTGGCACGTGCATAATAAATGTTGAGTTCGGTAAAAGTCACGTGCTTAAAATACAATTTGTTTAATTTTAGAATACTTAAGATGAAGTGTCACACTTATGAGTTATGACTATACCTATATGCATGGAGATAAGCAATGAATCCAGGGACGCGTAAGGATGCTCCGACAGATCATCAGAAAATTACATGTTTGCTAGTGTTTGTTTTCTCTTCTTTTAATACAAAGTAAAGTTTGATTAGGACATCTCTAATACAACCCCATTTTTTACTCTAAAATAGAATAAAAGAGAATATAGAGTAGAAAACTCTCTAACCCTACTCCATTTTCTATTCTATAATAGATTATTCCATAAATGGAGTAATCAGTTTTTTTTTTTGTTCATCACTCCATTATAGAATGGAAAATGGAGTAAGGTTAGAGCATTTTTAATCCATATTCTCTTTTAGTCCATTTTAGAGAAAAAAATGAAGCTTTACATTGGAGATGTTTTTAGTGCTTAGTTAGTACTCTTAAGTCGCTATTCCATTTGTATATAACATATATGTTGCATTTGAGTTCACTCTACTTTATTGTTATTAGTAGCATTGTATTATCCGCGTTCAATAACATTTTGTGTATTTTACTACAAAAAATTAACATTTGTGAACCGCATCATCAACTTAAATTTCAATATCGTTTTTCTTTGATTGAATGTAAAATTGTATTCAAAACGAAAAAAAAAACTGTTTTCTTTACAACATTTGTTTGAGAGTATTTTGAGTTCTAATCTGAACAAAACAAGCTAAATCCTTTACGAGAATCAAAGAGAAAGATTGTGATCATATTCATATCTTCTATCTCCGAGGGCTTTGTAGAAGATGCGGTTGCGAACCTGCTTGTCCACCGATCTCACTATCACAGCTGAGAGTGAACCTTTCTCTCCATGCCATCGATTATTGCGTTCACGCCAAATAGGAAAGTAGCGCAAGAGGAAAGTAGGAACTCTTTCTTGCGACGAGTCTGAGGTAAGTGCAATGATAACTCTCCAGTCAGATTTGAATTGTTTTTTTTTTTTTTTTTGAACTTTCAGATTTGAATTGTGAACCAAGAATTCCTTTAACCAGATGAGACCACACGTCATGCTTAAAATTCAATACCAATTTCCATGTTTTATAGTATATATGTTTGTATTGACAACAAATACATTATACATACAGAATAATGTATAATTTTCTATAAATATTAATGGCACTGAGTCATCCTTATCAGAGTCAGTAATCTATCAACTAGCTAGTACTAGTATCTTATTAACAAAAAGTAAAATACTTGTCGGTCGATCATGTTTTATAAACTAATACTCCCTCCGTTTCATATTAAGTGTCGTTGTAGAGAATTTTTTGTGTTACAAAATAAGTGTCGTTTTCGGTTCTCAATGCAAAATTTATTAATTTTATTATGTAATGTGTTTTTCTATTGGTTAAAATATGGTTAGGTGTATGGGTAATTGTGTTTTTATATAGGAAATATGTAAAATTAATTGTTTCCTTAATCCGTGTGCACAGCTGTAAAGTGACACTTATAATAAAACAGAGGGAGTATATTTTATTTCAGGATGCATCTATCATAATATGAAAGAATAATTTTTTGAAGTAAAAAAACTTACATATACAATCTAGAGTAATTTGTTAAATACCACTTCTAAGTTTTGATAGACACGCTCTACGAAAATATTGTCAATATAAAATGATAAAAAATATTCACGATAATATCACTACTTTAATTATCATAATATTCTTAATGAAAATTTAATTAAAAT